TTTATCAAGAAATTCCCTCAGAATTCCTCTCCATTTGATTTCCTTTGTAGCCAATTTGGTCATTGCGCAACATTCCTGGAGTATTAGAATATCTTTGTGTCATCTGGACTTTATACTTTTTGTGGAAAACTGAGGGTGGTCCAGAGACATGTCTACTTCTGAGATCAAAACCTCCTGCCGGATCGCACATATATAGACATGTGAATGTGATAGAGCACCCACAATCACAATTCAAGGTTTTCCCACCAAATACCAGTCGTTCGGCTCTTTAGTAGTTTGGGTTGTCAAAAAAATATATATATATAGATATCCAGAAACTAAAAGTAAAACCAGTAGATGTGACTTTTTTTGAACAGTTTTAGTCTTGATGTGATTTCAGAAACAATAAAGACCACATGGTAATATAAAAATTACTATTATTCTTTGTAGAAAATTGCATAACATTACGGAAATTACAAAAAAAAGAATATTTGTATTATTACTGGAATATCAAAACCATAGTATTGCTTATTATATTGATATATTATATGCTTTATTGATACTTTAGAGCTGATTCCCTGGGGGTGTGACTAACCAGAACTGCACTGCTCTATCTGAGGCTTGACTTTAATCTGAGTTTTATTTTAACACTGAGCATAAAGAACTGACTTTGCTGGAACTACAACAGGACAGCTGATGTGTGCTGTTAAACAAATCTCTCTCAAATAGTATTACAGCTACCAGCTACAATTAGCCCACAGTTTTTCAGTTAATCACACTCACCTCAACAGGATCATGAAGGCTCATATTGACCACAAGCTCCTGAAAATGTGTGGCTTGAATCCTTTTTTTTGTTTGTTTGTTTTAACTGTTTTTTTTTTTTTTTTTTTTTTTTTTTTTGTTTTTTTTTGCAGTGTTTGCTAATGTGAGCATTGTGTCACCATGGTAACTGGTGTGTATTCCATCTTTGAGATACAAACAGAACTCCCCCAGAGTGATATCACTGCAAAATATAAATACGTTTTTTTGTTCACTTAAAAGTATTTTCCTAGAACTATCGCGGCAAAGTATCATTAGATTTTTGTTCAACTATTTTCTGAAATGTTTAGAATGGCTTTGATCCATTTCAGAATAGGGAAAAATCACATGGTAATACAAAAATACTATTATTTTGTGCTGAAAATTACATAAATTATAAGAAAATTTTATTTTTATTATTATATTTTATAGGCTGTTGTTCCCTTATGAAACTTATGAGGATTTTGCATAATTGCAATCTATGAAGTGTCTAATTCTTTTGGGTGCTTGCAGAAAATGAGATAATTTCAGGCGGTTTATTCTTAGCAGATGACTGAGGGCATAATTAAGTGCAGAGTGTGATTATGAGTGGAACAGTCCCAGAGGTTACACGAAGACCACAACACGAGGAAAAACCCTTTCTAAGCCACTTAAGACAAGTGCTGCTGTGGGAGAGGACCATAAAGAGGCAGTTGTGGGCAGAGAGGGCGTGGAGTTATTCTACATGAAAACACTAGGCCACAGGGGAACCTAGCATCTTTGTTCACAATAGAGGATAAACACGGATGTCAAGACAATTCGGTTAATCAATAATCTATGTAATACAGGTCACAATATCATTGTAAGTACTATAAAATAACAGTTTTCAAACAAATAAGCAAGAATAACTTTCAATTCAGTGCAAAAAAAGTAAAAATGTCACATACTTAGGGGATAGTAATCTATTAGACAAGATGGAAGAAAATGAAGTGCAACTTAGACAACTCATATTGATATATATATTTATCGTTGTTATACTTAAATTTAACTAAAGATCTTTAATAGTTTTTTTTTGTTTTTTTGTTGAAGGTAATTCCATAACTGTTACCCAGCAACCAAATTGTAAACAATGAATGGATCAGTTTTATATTGTGCTTTTTTGGACACTCAAAGATGCCTTAACAGTTTGTTATTCATTCACTCCACACTCAGTGGTGGCAAGGTCCTTTTGTAGCCACAGCTGCCCTGGGGCAAACTGACTGAAGCAAGGCTGCCAATCTTTACCATCTGTCCATCCAACCTCCACCAATCAAGCACACACATGCACACACACGCACGCACACACACACACACACACGCACACACAGACACAGTTGTTAGTTTCTTCTGAACTTTTTTTTTCCAACCAACCGCCACTTAACTAATGTAAAACTATGATATATATTTACCACAGCAGGTCAAACCAAGTAATAAATAGAAAAATGTGAAAACCTGTCATATGCACTACGGATCTGAGAACAATAATTAAATTGTGATGTTTCTTCTCTCAATAAACGTTACATAAAAATTGGAACTCATGGCACATAAATCACCCTACTGACCTTTCTGGTTCCAGGAGGATTCAAAGCCATGTTATGACACCAAAGTTTGGAGCAAAAGCATATTCATAAATTTATCGGGGACTGAACAGTCAGACTTCAGACAGACAGACAGTACCCTTCTAGAGAACACAGTAAAATGTCAGGAACATTCTCTTCTTACAAACACAACACTGTCCTTTGCAAATGTAATTTCAACTGAAGACTTTCAAATACAAATTTCAGCTTGTTCTTCCCCTGCAAGAACTTGCACTTTTTCTTCTTGTACTTTTAGCATTAGCAATAAAAACAATTGGAATGAACTCGTCCCAAAGAGTTCAAATTAAAATTAATCTTAATAATACTGTATAATGACAATAAATGCTTTCTATTCTATTCTATTAATATAGTAAATGTCTTTCTCAGTGAAGAAGTAATAAAACTCCCAATTTTACATTAAACTGTTAGATTCTGTAATGAGGTAGCTATTGAAAATCAGATTAAAGTAGCATCAAATTGAACATTTGAGTATTAATGCAAAAAGTTACATTTACTGGACAAAAATGAATCTTTCCTGAACAGCTTTAGAGTGATTGTGAGCTGTATCAGATCAAATATAAGAGCACATAGACTAGTATACACCCATGGACCACTACAGAACATGTCTGGACAACTGATGGATTAAACAAATATATGACCACGTGGCAATATAAAGGAAAGTACTATAATTTAATGTTGAAAATTTCTACTCTCTAAATAAATTATTATTCATCATACATCATTGTGTAATTGAAGTTGGTATTGGGTATCGCGTCTATTCCTTAGCATCGAACTCGGGTCTAGTATCGTACACTATTCTGTATTTTGTTTGAGCTATGAGCTAATTTGTCATTGTCAAAAGTAACCTCTCTACTTAGCAAGATTAACCATGTCCCACAAAATTATTACAAATTCAACTCTCTTTTTAGCTTTCATTGGGATACTGACCGCCCCAGAAGTTCTTTGACCAGTATGTCAGACAAAAACTGCCATAATTCAAGTGTCCTATACAAGATTGGAAATGTCTAAAAACCACCAATGAGTCATAACACAGAAGAGCCCTAATTGCACACAATGAGATTTTAAATATATAAAATGCTTCCCCACAGCTGGTTCATTAAATGACCAAATCAAATGAGATAAACTCTCTGCTGACCGCACTGTGCTGGTCAACAGGGCGTTCTCTCTGCTTTTTCACTTGACGTTCACTGTCATTAAAACCCTGGGTGCCCATCAGCAGCAGCCACATTATAACGTGACTAAGTAAGTATAAGTGATCTCATGGTCCATGGCATATATCATATAACTTACCGACGCAGACCAAAATACAGCTGGAGTTACCAAGAAAACAGAAGCTATATAAAAGCAACATTAGTTTCACTGTAAAGCCACAATAAAGAATGGTAGACCCGAGGGTGACCAGCTCAAAGTGAGAAAAAATAGGGATGTGGTGGGAAGTTGAACGTGGTGGGACTTGGAGAGATGGTCCTTAACTTAAGTTCATTAGACTGATAATGCAATAAGCCCAGATGATTTTTTTAGTTTTTTATGAAGCATGATGTAAGGTTGCTAAAAGTAACAAAAATCAGATCCTAATTGATTGATTAATACTCATTTGAACAAGTATCTATTCAAAAAAGTCACATTCATAGGCCAGAAATGAACCTTCCCCAAATAGCTTGAGAATGATCTTGAGCTGTATCAGAAAAAGTACGGCCACATGGACTAGTTTACACCCTTCTATGGCACCTACAGATATAAGACAACATGGTAATGTAAAAGAAATGATGATGATTAAATGTTGAAAATGACATTCAGTTGTCTAAATAAACAGTTTTTTTCATCATCATGGTATGAAATGGTCTTGAGCATCGCCTCTGTTCCTTAGTATAAAAATCAAGCTTGAAATTTTAGTATTAAGATGTGACAACATTACCGCAAGGCTCAGAAAGAGATGGCAGCAGTGGGTGCCAATTTATTACAACTCTGAAAGCCACACTCTTGATTTTGTTGCCAGAAAAAAAAATCATCAGTAAAAAAGTGGGACATTCTCTAAATAAGAGATCACCCTACACCGCTCCCTCATCCCCAAACAAAAGGGCCGCCACACTACTTCTGATGACAGCATCACATTGGCTCCGGCCCCTGGGTGGTGCAAGCATGACCACACAGAGCACCAGCGGGAGGGCGCACTGTATATTCAACAATACACGCCAGCAGATGGTTCTAATAACAGGGAGGCTATTTCAGCTTCTGTTGGTGGAAAGAGGAAAAATCACAGTAAGGCAGTGTCCGAAGATGTCCGCTCAGTTCTGAACCAGAGAAGTCTTTTGGGGCTTTACAGCAATTGCAATGCGGTGAGGTAAACCAGTGATAGACGATAGAGTGATTAAGTTACAAGATGACGTGAATTTTCTTTGCACCTGCTTCTCCCTTGTCAAGCTCATGTCTTAAGGCCATCCCTGCCCTCATTATTAGCAACAAAATGATTCCACGCTGGACAAACGCGCTCGGTTTTTGACATGATATTAATCGCTTCTGCACGTGTTAACAAGGCAGTTCCAGATCAGAGGAACTTGTATTTTTCAGTCACTGGCAGTGCTTCGCCTTCATTGGCTCTGTAATTACCCTGTGATCAGTGTGACAGCATCTGGGCCGAAGCCAGGCCTCACAGACAGCATCCACCTTCAGCGAAAGGTTCCTCTCCTCCAGTCCTGATAAGCAGCAGATACGGCTGAATGCACCAGAATGCATTGGCTGCGTGGGGAAATCAATCAGGAATTATTGAAAGGAAAAGCTGAGCTGAAAACGATGTCAAATGTGCAAGCCCCAACTAGGGTTTACACGTGAGGTGAAAAGTCCTTTAAAATATGATTGAGTACCATAGAAGCTAATCTAGGTCAAGACTCAATATTGTGTCAGTTTAAATGACAAAATAGATAGAATAAGATTAGCTATTTAAAAACAATAAGCAAACAGTTTATTTTTCTTGGTCACTTTTAGATAAAAATGTGATAAATGTTAAGTATTGTTAGCAGCAGGTCAGATTTCTTCCAGATTGGGAACACTTTCACACACCATGATACTAAAATTTCAAGCTCAGTTCAATACTGAAGAGAAAAGCTTGATACCAGATACAGATTGTGATACTACAGTAATAATAAAAACATTATTTATAATTTTTTTTACTATAGATGAAGATGTAATTTTCAACCAAATTTCTTAATTATTATCTTGTGGTCTTAGTTCTGAAAAGTACTAGATATGGGCACATTTTTACAACCCTATCTGATGCAATATAAAAGTGAATAAACATTTGTTGCACAATATTGAAATAAGAATTTATCACTATTTTGTAGGGGTTATTCAGAAAGCCACGAAGTGTTGAAGGGGTTAAAACATCCTACAAGCAAAAATATACCCAATTGGTTCCAGTTACGAGCAGAGAAGAAAGGTGACTTCAAAATAAAAGCTTATGACCACCTGTTGGATTTACAGCCACCGGCGTCAAGTGAGTGGCGCTTTAAAAGAGATTTACTATTTGCACTTTCTCCCTAGTATTTGCCACAGCGGTGAGCCTGGGGATGGTGTAAAACCATCAAACTAGACTCTAGAAAGACCGAGAATAAAAAAGTGTGTCAAAAGTGAAGGAGTTTTGTTTTGGGTCACTTTTGTTTATATTTTTATGAGGCATTTTGGCTCTAATATGGAGCAGATGAGGAAAGAATGGTTAGACTGGGATTTCTCCTTTTCCCAAACCTCTTTAGACCAGAGATGATGATTAAAGGGTGGGAACAGAGGCAGTGGAGGTTACTCACAGTTACACTTGCAGCTGCCCAGAATTATCGCACTTTTCCACTATTAGCCCCCATGCATTTTAAGGATGCAGATTTGACAATATAGAACTACTGTGGGACGAGAGATGAATGCATACATTTATTTTTCAAATAGAAGAAAGAATAATAGAATGAAATATCCACTCCTAGGTAAAAATCCAAATCTTCTGAGATTAGGAGAAAAATCTTTGTGATATTGACAGCACAGATGTAGTGGAAAAAATAAATGCATAATTAAGGCATGGGAATAGTTATGTAAAAAACTAAATGGAGACAGCATAAGCTTTTATAATTTATTTTTCTACATCTGTTGCTGATTAAGACAAAGATAGTCGATTCATTTCCAGTTAAGATCAGCCTATATTCATAAAGCACAAGTGTGACCTTAAATAACTCTATACCTGGCTCAAAAAAGGCCATGGTAAAATCGTCAGGGAATGGCAATCTGTTTTTTGCAAAGATGTCTTCCCATATCTTGAGTTTTAATTAAGTCACATAAACTGACTATCACTATAATTATGTTGTTTTTTTTTCACTTTTTAGTGTCTTAGTTATCCAATACTGTCCAAGTGAAAAGGTTTTGTAGGAATATCACCCAAAATTGAACAGCTTTGTGTAAAATTTACGACTTGAAAAACAGATTTCTCCACTGACAGACATCACAAGTGATGAGCACTCCATCTGGCTTTGAAAATGTAGAGATATAAAATCAGGAGACAGCTTACTGAGCTCACGTCTAGGACAAATACCAAACCGGTGAGCGGTTAGAAAGGTTCAAGGAATTCAGTGCTGGTTAATAAACTTACAAAACCATCTATTTGCAATTATATAAAAAGCACAAGTGCAGTTTGAACATTAACACATTCACTCCCCGGTATAAAAATGTACGCAGTGCCATGGAAACAATATAATCTTTTAAACAAGGTTGTAACACGTATATTTATTAGCAGCAATAAACCCCCAAGATTTCAGGGAAGGGTTCTGTGGTGCTAACAGGAAAAAGTGGATGGAAATGTGATGCAATTTCCAAATTACAAGAACTTGCATAAGCTATAGGACACTCTGCGGGTCGATAACAAAAGGATTTAGGAGATGTTTCTGTTGATGGCCCACTGTGCTGACTCACAATCTCTTAATATAGTGCTGTGTACTTCACAATTCTAGACATGTTTAATACGCACCTGAACCTCACTAAGATTTGAGTAGGATGTTTGCAAAGAAGCAAATTCTTCAACAGGAAGTAGAAGTCGGATCCTGGAGTCAATGTCGTGAAGCTGCTTGAGGTCTGGAGGCTCTGGGGTGTATCCTTGTCCAGTTGAGACTGACACAGCCCACACATCATCCTACAAGACACACATAGTCAATTATTTCAACACACAAATGATTTCAGTTATTAAAAACCACAGGCTAAATGACACATAACAGAAAGAAGATGTGATGCTCTCAGTGGCTTTGTTTACACGCACACTATAAACTCATTATTATCCGATTTATGGACCTCTAATATTATTTAAATCACATACACATTACAAAATCTGATGTGAGTAATCAGGGTGACCATGATCAGAAAGATATCAAATGATTTTGCGGTTTACATGTAATTTTAATAGTCTTAACTCAGAAAATCTGACAATAATCAGACTGGGAGTGTGCATGTAACTGCAACCATAGTGCCAATGTTGACCTCTCTACACAACAGAACTAGTGGAGTTCTCACAGTGAGGTTACGTTTTCATATACATGGTAATTCATCTTTTAGGCTGTTATGTAGGAAGTAATTAAGAAAATACACTGAAGAAATTCCAAGTTAAATCTAAGAACTTTCTTTTTTACTACTCATCAATACAGCAGAGCAGACTGTTCCATAGACCTTCTGATTTATTACCTCAGGTTACCAGAGTGACGTATAAAATTGTGAAGCTTGTTAGGAGGGGAGCGACAGATTGTGAAGCAAATAGCTAAGAGCAGCCCTGTGTCTGCTATGTCCTGATGAAGCACCAACAAATGGGTGGGCTCCTGAGAACTTATGATCACTTCCAGCTACTGTGACATAAATAATGCGTTTGCTTTGTCACAGTCATTCATAATAGTAGGATTTGCAATAACAGGAAGTCTTCCTCGGCCAATAAAAACCAAGAGCATCTGCACTTCTATCAGTTTGCTATCCGCTGCCACAATTACTGCCATATTGTTCTAAAAGTCAAGGCAAACATCATAGAGCAGCAAGACACAAAAAATTCTGGCAGGGCGGTTTACGGATTCAGCACTGTTCAGTAAAGCTAAACGGAACCGTCTGTGAAGGGTATGTTTACTTTCATTAACAGAAAAATGTATAAAAATTATGTCTAGCAGCTGCTTTGTGTAAGGAACAATTCCCACACCTGGAGATTTCGAAGAAACTCAAATGTGAGAACAGTGGCATTAATTAAGGCCCTATAAGACAGAATCTGGCTTCTGAATTTCCTTAAAAGCCACAGAGGGAGCAGTTATGAATTCAGGATTAATAAAATGAATCCATAACATACTGCATTCCACTGGAACTAGCTGCATATGGTAGGAGACATCTGGCTGATGGTGTGAAGGGCCTTAGAGAATCAGAATCATCTGCCCAGAGTCTGCCTAAGCTGCCAAGGAGTCGTCAAAACATAGATCTCTGACCACTGTTACTACTAGGGCTGGTGCAAAGGGCCAGATGTGTTAAGTAATAAGACTGTAGCAAAACCATGGAGAAATGCAAGGAATTCTGAGTGTGAAAAGTACACTGATTAAAAAGAAAGACTCACATCAGTAAAATGACATTTCAAGCATTGATGATGGATTTTAATGTAACTTTGAATGTGTTGTGATTTCTTATCAGTCTACCTCTGCATCTGCACCTCTGGCACAGTCCTCTTCCTCTTGGTCTATTTCCCGGAGGAGCTCGTCTAGACGCTCTTTCTCGAGTTGAGTCAAAACCTCTTGGCCCCCTTCAGCGCTTATCAACTATTGCATAACACACAAAAAATTAAGCTTTTAGATGAGGAAATAAGATATCATCTCCAAATGCGCCCCGGTCTACAATTGTGCCTTTTTTCAGAGTAACAAACAAATAATTAGACCAATGGAAGAAATAGTGAAAAGCCTTAGACTCATTCATAAACCACAGAACTGTGATGTCCTTATGCGAACTTTGACATACCTCAATGTTTCTCTTGACAAAGTCCTTATGTTTTTTCTTGATTTTGGAACCTTCACAATGGCTTCCTTGAGAATGCTCTTGCTCTATGTCCATAAAATCTGTTTCAGGTAACGACTCAACACTGTCAGCAGATCTGTTGCTCACTGTCAAAAAAATACATTTAGAAAAACAAAAAAATACCAAAATATCAGAGCTCATATAAAGGTCTTTAATAGGTTTTCAAGGTTACAGCTGAAAAGCTGGAAAAAGGGCAAATCATATTTGATGGACTACACTGCCCTCCAGTGCACAATTTATTTCAATACATTTCACAACTTACTTGAATACACATGTTTTCTGTCATCATCACAATCAGGGGCTTCAGTTTCAAAAACTGGTTCATAGTTTACCTCTTCTTTATGCACTAAACATAGGTAACAGATGTCCGGGTGTTTAAATAACGCAAGCTTACTGTGATGAAAAACTAAACAAATGTAATACCTTTTGCAGTGAGAGCATCCAGAGCTAAAAATGACCTTGTATTTGAAGCTTCGTGGGCACATTCAGAGCGTCCTTTTGGTGTATTCTGCTGCACATACACATGATACACCATGTCAAGTCAAGTCTGGGTTACAGACAACATCCTCTGTAACATGTCATGTCAGCACAAATAAAAAAAATAATGTGTTTTCATTATTGTGGACAGGCTTATGTGAAATGTGTTTCAGGTTTACCAATAGTTCTTGCCAAAGTTTATCTCTAATCTCCTTTCTTTGTCGCTTGGCTTCTTGTCCTTGAACAGTCTTAAATGAGAGAATTTCATCAAGTCTTCTCATTTCTTCAATAGCCTTCTGTAGTTTTAAATCCTCCTCCTCATCCTCGTGCTTGGTAGTGGCACATACTTAAAAGAAGAAAAATAGGCTATTAGTGAAACAACAATTAATATACTCTAATTAAAAATGTATTAACTTACAATCATTATCCCCAGAAGTGACGAGATCAACGCCACTCTAAATGGAAATGGGAATTAAAGGTTTCACAGGAAAATTTATTTTAAAAAGGGTAAGATTGCACTAGGCTATGGCCTACCTGTACATTCTGTGTCAAAACGACGAGAGAAAGTGCACTAGGGGAAGTAATTCTTTCTGTTTGAGGGGAGACGCTCGATACTCTACTACCTGTTAACCCGCTGCTTGCAGGACGAGAAATGTTGTCTAACTGCCCTCTAAATATTTCCATATGTCTCATGTTTGAAGGCTATGACATGTCATAACACTGCATGGAAGAACTCGTGTCTGTGTTTGGTAGCTATGGGAGCAAAGACTCCCGGATGTTGTAACTATGGAAATGTGCACTTGTTGGTGCAGCTGATGCTGCTGCAGTCAGCGCAGTTAGCCTGTGAGCGAGCTAGCTTCAGGAAGGAGGTGGCTAAAGGTTAGCCGTAGCAACATCGGCTCACAATGGCCAATGATCGTGGCGCTTATTTCAGCTAGAAACATTTAATGCCCGTCAATGTGGTGAAATAACAGTAGTAAATGTATTGTTGTTACTAAGCTAGAGTGGAGGATTCGTGGCTGTGTTTCAGTGGTATGTAAACTCTCGTAGTAAAACCTTGCTAACGATTGACGCTAATGCATTTAGCCAAAATGGCTAATGTTGGAGAACATGTATGCTGGTAATATATTACAACGATTAACATCCTTTCAGGATCGGCTGTCACTAATAATACGCATCTGTGAACATCCCATCACTACCACAAAACTCTTGCAAATAGACGTGTTTGGTTTATCGCTAATGGATTTGGCAAACCAAGACTCTTACACTGAAAGGAAACCCTGACATAGAATTAATGTTGGTGCATTTTTAATCTATAATTAATATATGTCATCATTACACATCCAATCTACCACTATAACTATTTACTGTAAAACAGCACAGCTGCTGATTACAGTACCTGCGCATAGTGTTGTATGTTTGGCCTGTTGATGTTATTTCAAGCATGCTGATGATGGCTTTCTGTGATTCTAGGTTTTCAACGGGAAGATGTGCAATGGAATGACACATTTAACATCCAAAGCCTGTGGGGCATGCACCTCACTAAATGGCCTGTCCTTCTTCTTGCTAGTGACCACAGTGTCTACTGGGTATGGATTAGGTAATTACACAACTGATTAACGCTGTACATTTATTGAACAGCTTGCTTAGAATTTACTGTAGAGAAATAACACAACAACAGCATTACATTTGACAAGAATCTTTTTCTTTTCATCCAGGGTGTGTGAGGCCATATATGGTCCAAAACAGCTGGGTAAACCTCACAGAAAGTAACAGGGGTTTGTTCCCTGTTGGGACCGTGCTACAGTACAGCTGTGACCCTGGTTACCAGCCTGATGGCCCCAGCATCCTCACGTGCACAGCACTTGGCCGCTGGTCTTCAGAACCTCCTCGCTGTATACGCAGTGATAGTAAGACATAAGATAATAAGATTAGATAACCTTTTTTGTGACATAATATCACCCCTGTTGCTTAATTATTATTAATCATTGGCTATAATTAACAATGACAATATCTGAATATTACAATTACTTTTTTTTTTTTTGTCCTTAGTGTGTCGGCCTATTTCTGAACCTGAGAATGGGAGATACATCTGCCATCCATCGCCATGTCGAATGTTTTCCCATGGCACAGTAATTGAATTCTTCTGTGATGAAGGGTTCATTCTTAAAGGGGATTACAAGTATTTGGCTTGTCAGGATGGGCAATGGGATGGACCAGCACATATCAACTGTGTGAGCCAAGGTACAATGACATAACTGAACATCACATAATTGACACTTTAGAATCTGCTGTGACTGACATACTATTGTGTTTTTCTTTAGGCTGCATAAGACCTTTCTTGGTGCCACATGGATCAACTAATTTGACTGAAAGCAACAGAGGCTCCTTTCCTGTGGGCACAGTGTTGGAGTACCGGTGTGACCCTGGTTATCAGCCAGATGGTCCCAGTATTCTCACCTGCACGGCACTCAAGCAGTGGTCTTCTGATCCACCTAGATGCATACGCAGTGACGGTAAAACGGAGTGATAATTTTTTTATTCATTTTGACGAAGTATTGGAGCTAATCAGATTTTCCCCCAACATTGGGTAGTCTGTCAAACTCCGTATCAGCCAGATAATGGAGGCTACACTTGCCACCCTTCTCCCTGCATAAGGTTTTCTCATGGCACTGTGATTGAATATTTCTGCGAAGAAGGCTATATCTTGAAAGGAGACTACAAATATCTTACGTGTCAGTATGGGGAATGGGACAGCCCTATGCAAATAGGCTGCCTTAGGGAGCAAGGTAAGGCGGGCATTTAAGATGGATTGTTATTTAATAATCAACTGTTTTTATACCTTACTTTCACATTTCAGATCATGATTCCACTTTACCCCTGGGAATGCCTGCCTTGTCTATTGTTGCATCTACCGCTAGTTCAGTGGCTCTCATCCTCCTCTTAGTGGTGTTATTGGTGCTACTGCAGCCAAAACTGAAGTCCTTGCAACGGTCAGTGTCTCCAAAACAATGTCAACTGAAAATAATTTAAGTGAATAACACTAACTACTTTTAATTCATGCCTGTATCTAGTCGTGATCATGGTGTGTCTGGCCAGCCCGTGTCTATCATGGTGGAAGGAGTCCAAGTTACTTTACCCTCTTATGAAGAGGCTGTGAGTGGTGTTAGCACTACCACTGCCCTTAACTCTGAGTCTCGTGTTCAGATTGTGTTGTCTGAGAGTCAGCATGACCCAATGTCAGAAGCTGGTCCCTCCAGACCCTCCTCCTTTAAACAACAACACTCAGAGATGGATGTATACAACTTAGTACCTCCATCCTCTCCTTCCTCGTCACCCTCCTCCTCCTCCTGGACTCTAGAGCATCCAGGTGATGCAGCTGATCCAGTATCACACAGACGGCAGTGTGCAGACAGCCCCCAGTTTAGCACTCCCCTCTATGACCCAGAGCTGGACTATTCTGATGGTGAAGTCACATTTCTAATCTTTGAATTTGAATTGAATCAGTTGGTTACACGCCTTTACAACCATGTCTTTTCCTTCTGTAGATATGCCATTGCTGAAAGAGGCTTAAAACTTTCAGCAGGGTTGGACTTGCATCATCATCATCATCACCGACTGTCACATTTCTACTGATCATAAGTGGTGATCAAAATATTTCTTGTGAAATGGTCACCACAGCTGTCAACACAACCAAGCAGGCCCCATGAGAGGTTTGAGTAGTCACACAATTCATTCCAAAGGTAATCTTGGTGGAGAGTTACATGTACATACATGCTTTGATTTTTGTCATTCATGTGAAATGTTTTATGACATAAAAAGAAACACTACAACAAGGTTCATTGCTAACAAAAATAAGAGAATGAGCAATGCAGCCTGTAGACCAATAATCTCAGTGTCTTGTTTACATTTATGAAAACACATGAACACAAGTGAAATGAGCATAAAAGTAGTCAAACCACTCGTCAGACATTTTTTTCTACACGTTTTCATTGTTTGTTAGAGAATAAGACTACTGTAATGTAAATTTTTTGTTTATTTTGTCATTTTCTGGGACAAAGTTCAGATGAGCGTCTCTTCACATGGCGTCTCCTGTAGATCACACATACCCTCCCCCAAAGGCCTTAGTGTTCCACTTCTATGCACAAATATCTCATTATTTCCTAGGACTTTAAAAAAAATGAATGTCAGCATATTTGCCTCTACATTTTTGTAAAAGACGTGGCTTTGACAAAAGTGCATCAGAACATAATATTATACTTTTAATTTATTCAGGCTACTTAAAAATCCTGTTTAATTTCTAAGCAGGGCACTAACATGTATATTTTATTTATTTGTTTTGAAAATGCTGTTGATCAGCAAGGATTTTTTTTATGCTTCCAGAACTGGAAATTTCAATCTTTTCACTTTGCTGCTTCACTACTGCTGGCATGTGATGTGATAAGTGTAAAAGTGGAGAGGACTAGCAATGGTAAATGTACCCAGCTTTGTGTATAGTCACTGTTCACTCGTTGGCTGTCCATTAAATGTAACTGAATGGACGAGATGTATGTGTATGGATGGGAAATGTTGGATTTTAATTAATATATGTAAAAAGTGTCATGTTGATTTGGTTCTCTGTGTATCATTATGATAATTTGGATTAAACATTTGTGTCATGCTATTTTGTATCTATCACCATATAAAAAAAACTGAACTTCAACTATCAAAAAACATAAATTACATTAATGTAACATAAATCATAGGTCCTGATTTATTCCAATTTAGGGCACAAAACTGTATTATTACAAAACTGAAGAATACACAATAGTGTTAGTTACTGGCGCAAAAAAGATGGAAGTCCATAGAAAGTGAGAACTCGGCACTCATTCCCTTCTACAGTGTCTCTGACCATTAAAATGTGTAAAACTTCAACAGTTAACCTGTCAAAGTTAGGGCTGTTTGACCTCCTCTTGTCTTACATCACAGCTGTGTGGATCCATCACTGCAATGAAAATGCATGATTATTTATAATGTGAACGTATGAAGTTGTTCCTTAGAAGCACAGTGAAAAACATGCACTTGTGTCACTTACCCTCTGCTGGTGTTTTGACAGTCTGGTAACATCTGAAGCATAAAGTCAGCAGCAGGGCCTCACCACACTGGAACATGATGTAAATGAGTGGGAAGAGAAACATTGGTCCAATGACCTCTGGGGGGAATGCTACTTTCAAGATGGCTGTGCACAACTGGATATTTTGACACCCAGTCTCCATGGAAATGGTCCTACAGCACCTAAAAACACAGATATTTCATTTGTTGCCACCGTTTGGCAGTTGATGGTATTAATACTGGTATTAAATTAAGTTTTCCATTACAATGTTGGGAATACATAGTTATTGACTTAATGGGAACACATAGTTATTGACTTACTGAGCATCAAGCTGGGACACAGCTGACATGACATATCCCAGAACAAACCCTATCAGGGGCATGAGCGCAGCCACAGCCAGAACATCTGGCATGAAGATCATCCACATCACACCTTTGACAGCCATGCCAGACAAAACTGACACCAGAACAGTACACACAACCAGAACAATAAGACCTGTCTGTTTGACAAACAATCAACATTGTCAGAGGAAACCATATATTTCATTTTGGCAGCAGAATGCTGACTAATCTTACCTTGGTTACAACTGGAGCATATTTTGGTTTGTAATAATTTATGAGGATGCCAGCAGTACAAGGAATAAGAGTTAATGCCAGAGTGGTTGTTATGCCACGATAAGGTACAGCATTTTGTAGTCCAGAAAAGCCTTGGCAGAAGGCAAACAGCAGCAAGGGCATCATACCCAAAGCCGCAATAGAGGAACAAGTTGTCATCACAATGCTGGATGTGGAAGGATATGGAAAAATAAAACATTATATAATGTAAACACCACTTTTATGGATAATAATAAGTAAAGCTTTATGATGCTATTAAAATACATAAAGTTAATGCAGTGAATTGCTTCTGTAAAGTAATTTAGAACATGCATTTTGTATTAATCAGTATATTTTGCACAATTGCAAGTTAAATCTATATAATGTAAATAAAATATATCTAATCTGATACATATGCTGTATATCAGTTTTAAGACTTCTGTGGTTTATCACATTACACTCTTTATTAATCTTCAAAATACAGTCTAGACATGTTAAATACTATCAGTACATCAATGAGATGTTACCTGAGGTTCATGTCACCTTTTAGAGCCAAAGAGAAGATATTAGATAATGTTCCCCCAGGACAGCAGCCACAGATAAGGACAGTAACTGCTTTGATTGAATCCATTTGCAGAATCTTTGCCAAACTGAAGGCTGTTACAGGCATGATGCCAAACTGGGCCACCAAAGCAATGACCACTCCTTTAGGCTTCAGTAAATGCTTCTTGATTTTTGAAACTTCCATTGTACAGCCGAGGGACACCATTGTGATGAGAAGCATGAGCACGGTCAAGAAGTTTATGGACTGATTGAGAAAATAACTGATCTTAAAGCCGCCTGTTGTTGTATTTCCAGTTTGGTTTCCTTCAAAGTAACTTTTAGTTAACTGATTGTAGAATTCTCTAGTAAGGTTCACTGTAGAAATTCCTGGACTGTACATTTCCCCTTCTTTTGTTTCCACCTGAAAAAGAAAATTCAGTTTGCCACCAAATCCTTAACTTGTTTTAAAAATAAATACATTTTAAAAATCAAATGTACTATCAGGCTAGGGTGTCTGTGGCAGAAATCAGTTCCAAAGAAAAATACTATCTTCATGTATATTCATGCATGTTACACCATGTTTATCTTAAGTGGTTAACCTACCCTATCCAGATGAAAATGACCCTTGTCCAGATAGATGTAAAGTAAACAGTTTTAACACTGAATTAACCATGGGCACTGATATGTGACGGCTGACTCAATATGGGATGAGAAAAAACAGAATTCTGCCAACTCAACAAAGTTAAAGACATTAATGGGCTCATCTGGAGAGATTAGTCTCCATACACTGAGCACAAATGTTTTGCACTCCCTGACTTAGGCTGAAAGGTAGGATGCAATCCACTAAATAAAACAGATTATCATAAACAAGTGACAAATAAAAATATATTTTAATTCAAATACTTAAACAAAATAAACCTATACATATACCACTATAAAAAGCATTTTACCTTCATGTTGGTCCTGTACAGCTTTAAGCCCACTCACTGGCTCACATCACTCCCCACATTCTTGTTCTTAGCAACTTTTTGCGCTTCGGCCCCTTACCCTCCTCTTCTCATCACATGGCCCGTGACAACGCTGGAGGTTCTGAAAGGCAGTCTAGAGACAAAACACTAACCAACACTGTGTTCTGTCCAACTCGCAGAATTGTATCATGTTTGCACATGATTTCATGTGATTACTTATTAGAAGTCTCTTCCTATCTGTTGAGTTTTATGGTGCCAGGTCTTTTTTGTTTCCTCGTGGGAAAGTTGAAATTGGGAGGCATGAAGATGTGAATACAATGCCATTACATGTCTAAAGAGTTATGTTGCTCAGCCTCACTTGTAAACAGATCTTTAATTATTATTATGCAATCAGGCAGAGGCTCCTGTTTGTTCTGCCAGTTTGTGGGCCTTTTCAAATGGGGGCTGTTCTTTTATTGTGAGCCTGCCTAGTTTGTCAGTGAGTTCATGAAATATTTCAGATTTTTGTTTCCTAATCCTTCAAAGTAAGGCAGAGATTAGACCACATGTTTAATGCACCTCACGTGCCTAGTCAGTGGGTCCCCTGCAGCAACAACAATCATGCTCACTTGAGGCACAGTCAAGGAGACTTGGAGATCAGTAGTTGTAATTGATTGAAATGAATAATAAAACAACTCTGTTTATAGAATAGCTTAGCAAACAGTAGGTTTTCGAAACAGTATACAATTAAATATTCTAATTAGTAGTTTCCTAAGGGTACAGAGTAACAACCAGGTTTATTATTTTTATTAGGTTACAACTAAGTGTTGCTAAAATTTGATTACAGATACTAATTTCTATTAGTATCTGATTTTGCAATTCTTTTGACAACCCTACTATAACTTACACAGTTATATGGAAATAAATACACACAACTTTTAAAAAACCTGTTGAAAGCAGTGCTACAGAAAAAAAAACAAAAAACAATCAAACAAAAATCTTCAATGGTTTATGGTTTGCAAAATATTTATTAAAATGCACCACAATACAAAGTACTACTATACTGTGTTTGGCTTGCAAAATATCTTTAGAACAAGTCTGGATAAAAACAAAAACACATAAAAAAAGCTAGAAAAAAATGCACATCCCTCCACTGTAATTCATTCTTTTGCAGGCAGAGTTGCAGTTGCATTATGAACAGTGAAAGCTAGGCTATTTAAGGCCCTTTGGAGGCAACCATTAAGCCATGAGAAATGAGTGGGGGAGGGTGGCAAAGGAGAGCTTGGCAAGGCCACCATCTGGTCTCATAATCATATGCTTATGAGCGCTGTGTCATTGTTAAGTACGAACACTAATGACAAATAATAATACTACAAAAAATAAACTCGCATCTTGCTTGATCTAGAACACAGATCATTGTAATATAAACCACAATATGCCTACTTAGAGTAACTGTGTCGAGGTCTGTGTACTTCACAATGAGCATCACCACAAAAAATGTAAAACGCCAGGATTCTTTTCAACCTTCAACTTGGAATCGAATGATCGATGCGATGGTGCGGTTAATGGGGTATATTTTGTAGATTTGACTAAGTTAGTTGAAATGTGGTAATTGTAGTTCAACTATGTTGACAGGAGGCTTACCTCAATAAGTAAACTAGTGGCAAATGCCTTCGTTACCCACAAACCATTGCGTCGTAGAGTCTGCGCAAAGCGTGTTTTCCCGTCCATGTGTAGGCGAATCACGTGTACGGACCCCTGTTGGTCGTCATGTCTGTGCAGTAGCAGAGCTCGGAGCTAGCTTTTAGCGTTTATAGCCCACCACAGTTGTCGCTACACTTTATTTTGACAGCTGCATCAATTTCTGTGCATATTACAGAAGAATGAGCGAAAACGATGACATCGAAGTCGACAGCGATGTACGTGGTTGAGTTTTGGCTTGACGTAGCTAGCATGTTAGTTAGCCAAAGACAGCAACTTTAACATTCCCTCTGTAACCTACAGTATCGTATTCAACTCAAGTTATACAAGCTGTGTTATGGTTTTGATACTGTATATTTAGTGAAGCTACTGAGTAATATTGTAATGGAGCTCTAATGCAAATACTACCAAGCCTGTTTGTTTTGTTGTTTTGGTATCGATTCTGGAGCTAGATCGGGGTGTAACATCTATGTCATTATGTTACTTTATGGATCGGGTAGTGGTTTTATGACACAAAAATAATAAATATTAAAATGTACATCCTTACGATTAGTGCATCAATTATTCTAAGAAACTGACCCCTTTCCACGTAAACCTGCATATTGTTGGGAGAGGGGCAGTCTAACCGGGCCAACAGTGTTAACACTCAATAGCCGCAGTAGTAGTATTAGTAAGAGCTACTGGTTTAATTCTACCACAAATGTAAACGAAGGGTTATTTCTGTTCTGTTATAATGTATTCATCGTTAATTTTGCCTACAGATATTTCGTCCACGGCCCTTTTAAAGATGGCCCCAGCTCAGCCATCAAGTACGACGCATTTGCCTGTTGCAGAGGCATTAGTTTTGAGGCAAATAATTATACCATTGTACAGTATTTGTCGTTGTGCAGTTGGCTTTGCCCAAGAATAATATAGACACATTTCATGTCTGGTCACATATTTTTGAGCTACAGAATTCCCTTCCCCCTCTTGATTAGGCTTTATCTCCTGGCTTATCTGTCACCAGTGTAGCCTAGATTTAAAGACGTGTATTCATGCTACATTTCTGATTTCCTTTTGTGCTAAAAATTGAGCTCATATCCTTCTATAACTTAAGCATTAGGTCATAAGCCAGTCACCGTGCAAATCTCTAGCCTGAATGAATTGGGGCATTTGACCTGAATCATTTGAAAATTGTATCATCAAGCTTTGTAAAATCAAAGGGAAAATGCTCAGTATATTTATAGTTTGGGAAAAGAAATGGTTGTTATCATTTGTCATGTTATCTTGTTGGGGTGGAAAACCAAATACACTAAACAACTTCATGAATTGTAATTTAATACTGATTAAGTTTAAATTTGTTCTCTTACAGGCAGATAAGAGAGCACATCACAATGCATTGGAGCGCAAGCGCAGGGACCACATTAAAGACAGTTTTCACGGTTTACGAGATTCTGTACCTGCATTACAGGGAGAGAAGGTAAGGACAATTCAGACCCCACTACAAACATGCATGCACTGGAATGAAGGAAAGATCCTAAATTGTTCTAAAAAAAAAAGTGTGCGTGTGCGCGTCTTTTAACACAGAATAACCAGACATTTAGTTTTGACATTTAACCCCATTACCAATGCCTAGAAATTTGTTGCTGGAAAGTGTTCTCTTTCTCAGGCTTCCAGAGCACAGATTTTAGACAAAGCCACAGAGTACATCCAATTCATGAGACAAAAAAACCATACCCATCAGCAAGACATCGATGACCTAAAGAAACAGAATGCACTTCTGGAACAGCAAGGTAATATTTGTTGACATTATTAATACCTGTGTATAATATCTAACCCAATTTTTATACTTTCTTCCAGTTCGAGCACTAGAGAAGGCCAAGGGAAACAATACACTTGCAAATAATTATTCCTCTGATAGCAGCTTGTACACAAATCGCAAAGGGAGCGCCGTGTCGGCGTTTGACGGTGGGTCTGATTCCAGCAGCTCAGAGTCTGAGCCTGAGGAACCACCCAGCAGAAAAAAGCTGCGTGTGGAGCACAGCTAGAGCTTTCCAAAAGGACTGTAGCCCACCAGCCCCTCTCATATGTCCGGACAATTAGTCCAGGATGAAGACTGTAGACTGAAGAGGTGCTAGTACTATCATTGTAAAAACAAACAACAAATGCTTTTTTTCCAGACAAATCCGCCATAGCCAACCCACAGTCTTCTGTCATTTTATGATAATAAGGCAGCTCTGTAGTTTTGAAATAATTTCTTTACAAATGTCTTTATAGCCCTGCAAAAGTTGAGATGCAGTTCCAAAAAGAATGATTTTTGAAAAACCTGGTTTGTGTAAATGACAAATATTTTTTCCCAATGTTCTTACATTTATGGAAAACTAGAATGTGAAATGTAATGTGTGATACAAATAGCAGCCATTTTGATTTGCTCTAATTGGCTGAAATATTTGTCAATGAGATGTTTGTGTAATCCACTTTTTCTATTTATATTGGTATATTGGTATTGTTTCTTACCCTTATAGAATATTATGTATCAGTATGCTCCATTATTTCTAATGATCAGACTATATTGGAGGCGTAACATGCTTTCCTCCGTTTGGGTAGAATCTGCATAAATGTTCATGTACTTTACCCGATTTTATGTCAGTATAAATATTTCTTGATGAATGCTAAACTTTTTTGCTTTTGGAAGTCTGTTTCTGTGTGTACTAGTTGATATGGAGAAAAGTCTTCCCGTCCCCTTGGCCCTACTCTGACTTTTTTCTATTTGGTAAAATAGTGTGTGCAGTTTATGTTCTTGTTATTCATACAGGTATGTTGTACATACTGCCAATTGTCGTCTTGCAAGTTGAGGCGGACCTTTATTATGAGACTATAAATAAAACTATTTTATCCTGTATAGAGAATCTGTCACAGTTCGCATGGGTTTACAGTTTGTGTTTCCACTAACATCAGAGTTTATTCAAGAAACTGAAAACCCCTTGTTTACATGATTTTGCGGTCAGATCTACTTTTAGAATCAGTATGGTGCGATTGGTGCGTTTATGAAAGAAAAAAGGCCATAAAACAGACAAGCCGCCGTGTGACATAAAACAAGTTTAGGTTAAAATGGCCAGACGGTCACCTACCAACATACGCTAGAGATTAGTGTATTGAAGTTACGAGTGTCATTACATACGCTAGAGATTAGTGTATTGAAGTTACGAGTGTCATTGAAAGCCGCACGGCAGCACAGTGACATGGTCCTGTCACGCTCCGGAGGCATAATTCACATGAGGCATGGCAAAGCAGTACGATATTCTGTTCAGGCTGCTGATGCTCGGAGACTCCGGAGTGGGAAAGACGTCCATGCTGCGCCGCTTCACAGAAAGTGAATTTGAATCGTCACATATTTCCACGATTGGTAAGCCATCAAAGGTTTCCACAACTTTTCGATACTTTGTTGTTAATGAGATAATTTGAACATTTCCCCCCAAATTTGAACCAGAAGGCAGTTCATTTAAAATATGTAAACGATGTTTATAGATTATTATTATCCCCTAGCAGATTTTTTCTTTGGATACGCCAGTAAGATTAGCCTGCTACTGAACACAGTGGTCGTAAACAAAACTTTGGCTGCTGAGAAACTTTAGCCAATAATTCTTTAAAACGGCATTATTCTTTTGAAGTGCATATTGGAGAGATTCTTTCTTTCTTCTCTTATGCCACACTACGCTCAGTTTACACTGTCTTCGCTTTCCATGGGCCATGGGTTTATTTTATTTAGTTTCTGCTGTAAGTAAGCTTAAATACGGTAGCTCAAGTGTCGTGAAAATACACTTTGAAGAGCACTTTTATTTGTCAGTCTGTACATTTAAAATTTCTTGGAACAACACAGACTTTGTTACTGTATGAAATAGGCTTTTGTCAGTAACAGATTAGGCCAATGTATGAAATGCATCCAGAGCACAATGCCCACTTTGTTATATTGCGTTTTATTCTATTTATTTAATTCAACCAAAGACGCATACATAACATTCAGAATTTAAAGGTGCACAATGCAGCTTTTCAGGTGGAGGGCATGCCTCCACTTTGTCTCTGTGGAGATGTTTTAGCTCTGCCTGGAATGTTTCCCAGCGTGGCATTACAAGTTTAATGCCACACTGTGGAACATTTTAGCAAAGCAATAATCGCTCCATCAATACAAGGAGGTGGCTCCCATAATGCACCTTCAAAACAATTCAGTCAGCGTTGTGCTTTAATCTGCATAGTCATATTTGACTTTGAGACAATAATATTTTTCCTGTATAGTTTTGCTGTGGTTGGCCCAAATGATGACAGTTCAGTTCCCTCTGGGTTGTTCTGCTCTGGCTTTGAACTAACTGCACATCCTGTATTGTTCTCAGGGGTTGACTTCAAGATGAAAACATTGGAGATAGACGGACTTAAAGTGCGAGTGCAGATATGGTAAGTTCATATATATATATATATTTTTTTTATTTTACAAGTAAAACTAGGTTTCCTTTGTTCATTAGAATTGGTTCACTATCAACCTGGTTAAATAGTTAGAAATTTTAATTTGTAGCTAGAACAATAATTTAAATTTGACATAAATACACCATAAACATGTCAAGTGTCTGGTCTGTGATTTGGCCAGATAACAATGGATGATTATTGAATTGGTTGTTGATGTTTCAATTTATTTATTTGCCACAATGAATCAAAAGTTGTTGTAACCCAAATGTGCATGGATTGATCATATTTTATATTATGCAGGGACACAGCTGGTCAAGAACGCTACAAGACTATAACCAAGCAATACTACAGGCGTGCACAGGTGAGCTTTCATTTCCATTCCTTGTATAAACTGTCATGTATAATAAGCTGGATTCACGTGGCATTACAGCAGTCTGAAAGACCAATAGTTTACAATTGAGCTGGAGGTCAGAAGTCTCTTTGCCTTAGTGTATTTTATCTTGGCTTCAAATAAATTTAAATTACTTTTTCATTAGACTTAGACTAGACTAAATTTGTGGACCCAATGTCTATTAAAGGTTAAACATTTATGTACGGATGTATTTTTATTTTCCAGGGTATCATTTTTGTCTACGACATTACAAATGATTCCTCCTTTAAGCACATTTCAAAGTGGGTTGGTGATGTAGAAGAGGTAAGAAGCTCAGAATAAAAGTTTTGCATTGTTAAAATAGAAAAAAATTATAAAATAAAGTTAATGTAAAACTGCTGCAACCATCCCCAAACCTACATTGCTACAAGAATACAGCATCCAGGAAGTGTGTTGTCGTCACACATTTTGGTTTTCCCTTTCCAACTGAGCTGGATCATGTTTTGTCTACACTAACTTCCTTGTGTTGTTCTGCAGTTTGCTCCACAACAAGTGCAAAGTATATTAGTAGGAAACAAGTCTGATGAACAACCAAATCGCCAAGTGCCTGTGGAACTTGGAATTAAGGTATTGCAGCTGAAAGTTTTATTTTGTTATATAATTCAACAGTTTTTTACATTTTAGTATTTTTGTAGCTTGCTTCATCTTATGGAATGGACTTCTTTGAGACCAGTGCATTTGCAAACTGTAACATAAATGAGGTAATTGTTTGTCAAACATTCTACCTGAGCGCAAAGAGTATCTATTACCGTATTCCATGTTCTAAATGTATTTGCTTTGTATTTCCTTTAGTCTTTCACGCGTGTCACAGAACTGGTCTTACAAGCTCACAAGTCAGACATTGACAACCTTATAGGATCTCTGGATGAATATTTGGAAAGAGCCGCTTTGGGGGAGGAGTCATCCAGCAGCCCAGCAGATAGCGGCTCTCAGCGAACATGTGCCTGTTAACAGAAAACACACAGTGCCATTATAACACTGTACTCACTTCAACCAGCCAATGTCTACACAGCAATTCACACTGGAACTACGCTGCATTCTGCAACTTCACCACTAGAGGGACCACACTGCACAGCAACCACTAGGATGACAAGGTGGCTTTACTGTTGCATTCAGTCAAACATTACATTACTTCATAATATAAGTCTATTTAAATGTAGATGAAGAATCAACATTAACCTGTCAAATCACCTTATAGTTATTTTGGATGCAGACTTGAAAAGAAGTAAAGAAGATAGGTGGTTGTTAATTATTTAAAGAGAGAAACCTGATTCTAAGCCGTGTTGTTTTATTACTGTGTGGGTCTTTTCTTAACAATGTTGTGCCATGTTCTCTGATTGCGCTAAATGTGCAAAGGTGAGGATGCATGTTGAAACTGTTCATTTTGTTTTGTGTTTATTTAAGAAATGTGTACAATTCAACTATTATAATTGATTATTTTAAAAGACAAATAAAGTGGTATTTTTCTTAAGTCAAAGTTTGGAACTGCAAATTGTTGGTTCACACTTTGCTGAGGGGTCATAAAGTGCCTTGTACATTTTTCATTACAACGTGACAGGTGATCGCCTAGTAAATTTTTAACAATGGGGAATCTGATATGCCACTTTATGCCACAGAAGAAACTTTAATGATGTTCAAAACATCGCCTTCTCACACTGAAAATGAAATATGATACAAGTAACATACCACTTAATCCTTGAACAATAACGTGATTAGTTTTGGCATTATTTCTGATTTGGAATGATGGTACTTTGCATTAAAAATCTGTTGCATGAGGTTTTCACACTAGAGTTCTACATGGATCAGTTTCCTGTTGGGCCATGCAATACCCATGAAAGACAGTCAGGTGACCATGTGGTTGTATACAGTCACGCACAGGTATCCCATCTGCCTTCAGAGTGGGACAACAGATGAGACGAAATGACGTTCATAGCAAAGACGTTCTATGACCTAAGAGCCGTCACTCTGGAGGGAGACTCTGTGGACTTTAACGTGTACAGGGGAAGAGTGGTCCTCATTGAGAATGTGGCGTCACTGTGAGGCACAACCACCCGGGACTTTAGCGAGCTTAACCAGCTCCAAACCAAGTACCCCCATCGGCTGGTGGTCCTGGGCTTCCCCTGCAACCAGTTTGGATACCAGGTACAGTATCCTTTTTTTAATGTACCTTTTATATATTTATAGAGTCAATTTTACAAATGAACCAACGCTATATTGTTTTCAGGACTAACTATATGAACTTCCAAAATAACACATCTATTTTTAGTTACTATGTTTTGGTTTTGTGGCTTAATTTATTCTAGAACGTTTGAATTTGAATTCAGCGCCTATGACAAAATAAAATACCATTGCCAATGTAGTGGTCTATGTATGTTTTTTTTTTTTTTATAATTAATTCTGTATAATATTTTTGTATTTTATGTTGTTTAGCACATCGTATAATATTGTAAACCTAAATGTAAATGTAAAACAAGTTCTGTATCTTTTAGGAGAACTGCACAAATCCAGAAATCCTAAATTGCCTCCAGCATGTACGCCCAGGAAACGGCTTTAAACCCAACTTCACCATGTTTGAGAAGTGTGAGGTCAATGGGACAAACACACACCCAGTCTTTGCCTACCTGAAAGACAAGCTCCCATATCCTGATGATGATCCTAATTCACTTATCCAAGACCCCAAATTTCTGGTCTGGAGTCCCATCTGCAGGACAGACATCTCATGGAATTTTGAGAAGTTTCTCATTGGACCTGAGGGAGAGCCCTTCAAAAGATACAGCAAGAAGTTCCCTACTATCAACATAGAGCCAGACATCCAGAGACTGTTGAAATTAACCAAGAATTAGGACAAGAGTCCTTACTCCAATACATTTCACTCAGTAATTTACAGTAACGTCAAAATGAATGATGTCCTCCTCATTTTAAGCCTTATTTAATGATGGTGGTATTTTAAACAGTAGTGTGAATATCATCTGATGTCTTAGAAGTGCTTAACTCTGCTGGATGATTACATTCATTTTTACACGTTTTGGTTATAAATGTATCATAACAGCTAAAGAAATGCAGTTTTTGTGTTAAATCATTGGACCTTGTTTGCATGTATGTCTTGCTTTATGCTCTGGCCAGCAGATGGTGCTATTGACCAATTGACAATACGGTTTCACATTTGCGCTGGAATAAATCTATTCAATCAATGCACTCGTTGTTTTTATTTTTAAGCATGAACTAAATATTGCATAGCTAAAAGCAAAGTGTGCGTATAAGAAGAGTTTGCTTCATAAATAGCCAAAAAGACTGGCAATATTCTTGACTGGCATTTGGGCTAGTTGAGTAATGAAGCAAATTACCTACCAACATAGGCCTATTTCTCTAGATAAAGTGCTACATTAAAAAAATAATTAACCAAACCATTTTCATTTACTAAGTCTACTTGAAAATATTCTTTTGTTTCATTGGCTAACTGTTAGTAACCTCCTTAGTAAGTCAGCTGGACTAGGGTTGATGAACCTTACTAGGGTCTTATGTGCAGACTGCAGGCCTATCCACAGGCCTATAGGCGTCCACACTCTGTTGGTGATCAGAGTGGGAGCTCTTCCCCTAACTTTCCCTCGCAGGTGAGCCCTGTTGCCACGGAAACGTTTGCCTTTCCCTCAGTCCTTCTCGCGAGACTCCGGGGCAGAGTGGGGAGGCTGCTGCCTTTGCCTCAATGATCTCATCCCTTCAGCAGCTGCATAGCGCAGCGAGACACAGCGTAACTTTCTATCAAACTTCCAAGTTGCCTTTTAGAGACGACACGGGAGCGGTTTCGATTTCGGTGGAGTTCGGACGTTTCACGAGAAGGTAAGAAGAAGCTTTGTAAACTTCACGTTCCTGGATCAGTACGTACGTGCTACGACTTTAACAAAGGGGGAAACCGCGCTGTATTATGTGACATCCAAAAGCTTGAGGCAAAAAGGAGGAAAGGTGAGCGGGGAACGTGGTATGTCATGTGCGGACAATCGTCTCGCTCCTACAGTGCTACTCAACATCTGCCCGCTGTATTCGTGAGTAAACCAAGTGTAATATGGTGCTGTATAAAGACCGTGCCAGTGCTTCTAAGTAATGGTGTCGCTGTCATAGAACAATATGTTTAGTTAGTGTTTGGAGCAGTTTATCAACACGGACGCCACAATTCACTGGCTGCGTCTTATATGTCAAGGGCATTGTTCCCAGCAGTGCTTTAGAAAGACATATACAGGTGGTATCGTGTAATCAATGAATAGTGTGCCCTTATGATACGGTCAGCACCCACAGGACCGTGTTGTGAATGTGCGTGGTAGTTCCCTGGTGATTTCCCTGTGCCACATCTGCCAGGCCCGGAGAGCTGTGATTTGTTTACAGCCATGGGTGCCTCCATCATGTGCCTGAACGCACCACACCGGCTTATTACAGAGTAAAGTCTATCATAACAGTGTTAGGATAGGCCAAAATACTAGTGTTCTCTCTGTTACTAAGAATCTAGTCAAAGTGATGGGCTGCATGAGGCCATGTAGCATTTAGCCTCAAACAAATCTATTTTAGAATTGAACAGCATGTAAAAGCATCTTTATAGGGAAGTCAGAAGGTTTTTACATAGCTATGGAGTGGTTCTGATTACCCTTTAAGCAACGGTAACACGTTAAAAGAGCATATTTACAAAGCTAACATAGCACTTTCAAATAGTATCATAAAAAGTATCCTCTGTCCAAATTAGTTTCACAGTACTTTGTTGAGTAATCTGACATGAATCAGATGAGAAGAGGAAGCTTTGGACAAGATGGAGGATTTTTAGCATTCTTGATGGGCTTATGTGGCCAGTGGTGAACATGACTGTTCATATAGCTGCACAGTTTTCACTTTACTAGGCTACTTCTAATCTCAGCTTGGATCTCTTTTGCTAAATCAAAGCCATTATTCACACCAGTCTGCCCCTTGCACTAGCTGTTGGATGGCATTTCATTTAGAATTTATCTAAGCAAATAACTTATTTATCCAAGTATAAACAACAAGTCCACATATATTATCATGCAGGTAGACATAACAGCTTCAAGTCAAGTCAGATTGTAAAAATATGTAAACTTAACAGCAGCTCTATTATCAACTTAATACATCGCCTGTAATTCTACACAGTATATTTCAGTGGTCTGTAAGCAATAGACACATTTCTATTTTATCATCATATTTAAATCCTTATGCTGTAATTCTTGCATGCTAAGTAACTCAGTGATCCACTGAGGGATGCATCCTGTTGCTTTGTTATTCTTATGCATGGTCCCAAGTGCACTGGCTCAAAGGGACTAGTTTGGGCAAAGATAAAAGACAACAAGAGGAGCATTGTGCTGCTTATAATTTGCTACAGTGGAATTTGTGGGCCGCAATTATGGTAAACGGCCGCATGAAACTCTTAAATGAAGTGTTTGCACTATAGAGTTATAACGATGCATTATATGGAGGCTGTTACCTTTTATTAAATTTTAATGAATTTATAGGTTTAAATACAGTACTCCAGTGGGTTTTTTAATTGCACTGACTTCACCTTTTGAGAATTTGTTACTACTATGTTGGTGGCTACTATGAAAACTTGCTGGTACAATAATTCTTGAGATGTGTGCTGCCAGTGTCAGACACAAGGCCTGTTTGATTGCCTAAAAGGACCTTTAACTGTATTTCAGGAAGCTAGTAACTTGTTTGGTAAGTTACTTAAAATAAATTAAAAACATGTTGGTGAAAACACTGGTTCAATATCTATAGAAGAGGAAGTGCTGCATCGTGAATAGCAAATGAAAAGACAGTTTCATTCAGGGAAAGTAGAACTTATCTGAGTGTTGGGTGATTGTGATTTACTCATTTATTTTTAAAATGTATTACTGGAATGCCCCTTATGCTCATTTTCTAACTTAAGACCATTATCTGTGATTACCTGTAATTGTAAGGTAATCACAAACATCATTTTATTAGGTTTGACATAGAAAGCACATCATCATTTTATTTTCCTCTTTAAAGTAGAACTCATCAGTGAACTATGAGTGTTCAGGACTGACAGGACTTACTCACCCTGTAGTCACAAGTCTGGCTGATAACATGGTCTCTGGTGCTCAATGGATGCCTTTCCACAGGTGACAGTTCGACAGTCTGATAATTTTGATTGTAATGAGGTGTGACTATCTGTCTGTACTTCCTGCTAGCTAAACTATTGGAATGCCATTGCTTTGTGCGAATCGGACACTTCTCTATGTACCAGCCAATGGAGGAAAGCAGAGGGCTCGGAGCCACAATAGAGGTGATGTAATTCCCTTTCAGAGTGTTGTCACAGAGTAAATGCGGACAGACAAAGACGAAAATTCTCTCTCCATTCCACCCCAGTTGCCACAAAGTTTCGGGAACTTGACCTTGCAAAAAATGTGCGACAACTGGGACACTGTAATTATCTGTGGGATAGGGGGAGAGTTTGCTGACACTGGGAGTTCAGTGGTGGGGCAGGTGCAAACTGTTGCTTTCAGGGATAGTATTCATTAGCAGGTGGTCACTAGACACTGTCTACCAGCGTCTTTTTAAATATAGTCGTTAAATTGTGGTTATAACTATGGTTTGTTTAGTTGTCCGGCTCTATTCTAAAGATGCCAAGAATCAAAAAGATGAGCAAAAACCACAGTCATGCAGTGACCAAAGTGTGTATTTCCCCTTCTCCATTCCTGTCAAAATGAGAGCCTTGAAATTGGAACACTGGGAAGATTCAAGATTTGGAGAAAAACCACAAGACAAACATCCACTTTGTTTGACATAAAATACAAAACATCAAAACTCTTACACATTCTTATGGCTGCATGCATGCCTTTATTTCTGGAAGTTTGGTAAAATAAACAAGATTCATTTAATCCTGTTAGTTACAAACAATAGTATGTATGTTGTAGTATTTTTGTGCAAATGCCAAAAAGTTAATTGGTGTTGCTTTGAAAAAAAAAAGGCCACAGAAGTTTCCATAATGAAATGTGGGATTGTCGTAATGTGTATGTGCCACGAAGTGGCGGAATGCTCAGCGCTGTCCGGACTTGTCTGCTCGGCTGTTTGTCTGCTCGGCATTCGGCTCACTGGAACAGATTACAGGACCTGGCTCTCAAAAGAATCAAAACAGAGGTGGGTCCGAGGCCTGCACTCCCTGCCGAGTGTACATGTGGGCAGCGGTGGAAATACTAACACATACTACACAGACTAGCAGCGAGGCTCGCTCTTGTCCCTCCTGTGGACAGAAATCCGAGAAGGAGACAGGAATGTGCAAGGGCTTGGTTGTGGCTCCTTACAAAAGAGATTTCCATACAGGTCTGTTCAGCTCACCCTCATTCCTATTTGCACTTACAACTATAAACGCTACTGTCAGCAGCTTGTGACCCTCTGTAAAAATGGAAAGCTACACCTTTTCAACAATCTGTGTTCTGGTAACAGACAGAGACAGCCGTGACCCTTTAACAATGAAAGCACTCTTGTTGCTTTCAGTGTTTAGTTTTATTTCCTGTAGTCAAAGGTGAAATAAATCCTTCTTCAAATGGCTCCAAAAGTCCACATCCTTTAGCTTGGGTTGAGGGAATGCATTTCCACCATGTGAGTTCCTGTTCTGCTTTGACAGAAGAAAGAGGACTGTTGTTAACTACTCTTAATTTCTTAGATGATTCACATGCCAGTGAAAAAAAAAAGTCTTGACTGATTTTTTGCAACCTTTTCTCTCATTAACTGTGTAAAAAAAGTTATTTTAATTATTAAGTTATAGGCTTATGGTTGACCGGCAGATGAATTGGTCTCTAATAATGTGTGCAGCTCCAGGTACAAAGGGCAGATATAGAAGGCAAATAACAAACATAACAGCTTCCCTAGTCTTTCCTTTTTCATTGCTGGTTTCCTGTGCATTTCACTGATGTATTCCTGGACTGTACTGCAATGCTAAGCAAGAATCTTAAAACACAGCTCAGCCAATAAAAACTTTGCATGGATGTTTTATTGAGAAGCTATGCAGATCCCATATTCAGGGCTGTAATCCCACTGTTCATCTCTTAAATCATCTACATAAAT